TATTGGGGAAAAAAGCCTTGCTTTTTGACAAAAAATGTGTGAAAAACTAGACTTCAGTCTGGCAGAAATTAGGTTTATACCATATACCACATATCATTCACACCATATACCAAGAAAAACTCTGAATGGATATATAACGTATATATAAAAGGTCACATCATTGAACAAATTAAAGAAACAAGGAACAAATTACCTTTCAGATCTATGGATAGGGGAAGAATTCATGACCAAGCAGAGAAGATAAAATGAACAATTTTGATTATATGAAGTTTTTGCACAAAGAAATCCAATGGAGCTAAGATTAGGAGAGAAATAATTAATTGGGGAAAAACCTCTGCAGCAGATTTTTATGATAAAGGTATAATTTCAAAATATATAAGGAATGATTCAAATTTATAATAATAGGAGCCATTTGCCAAATGATAAATGGTAAAAAAAAAAAAATGAACAGGAGTTCTCAAGAGAAGAAATCCAAGCTCTCTATAGCCATATGAAAATGCTCTAAATCACTAATAATTAGAGAAATGAAAATTACAGCAAATCTAATGTTCTACCATATATCTATCATTTGACAAAGTTGACAAAAGAGGAAAATGATAAATGTTGAAGGCACATTGATATATTGGTGGAGTTATAGAATGGGTCCAACAATGGACCCATTGGAAAGCAATTTGGAACTATGCCTCCAAAATTATATCCTTTAAGCCAACAATAGCACTTTTAGTCCTATTTTCCAAAGAAATCAAAGAAAGAGGAAAAGGTCCAGTATGTAAAATATATATTACACACCAACTTTTTTTTTAAGTGGCAAAGAATTGGAAATTAAGGGGTTCCTATAAACTGGGAAATTGCTGAAAAATTTATGGGATATGAATGTAACAGAATGCTGTTGTGCTGTAAGAAATGAAGATACTTTCAGAGAAACCTGGGAAGACTTGAATGAACTGATGCAGGGTCAGGGAGTAGAACAAAGAGAACTATTAACACTATGACATCAACACTATAAAGATGAACTATTTTGAAAGACAACTCTGATCAGCATGATAATCAATCTCATCCCAAAGGGCTGATGATGAAGAATGCTACCCATCTTCTGACAAAGAGGCGATGCACCAACATGGGGAATGAGACAGACACATTTTTGGACAGGGCCTTTATGGAAATTTTTTTTGTTCATCTACGCTTATTTGTTATGAGGGATTTTGTTTTATTTCATTTCTTCAGTAGAGGTGGGTATGTGAAAGAAAAAATACATGAATGATAATTGAAAAAAAAATTTTTTTTTAAAAAGAGCACATTGGGGCAGCATGCCATAATGGATAGAGAGCTTATTGCAGAGCCAAAAAAACGTGAGTTGAAATCATACCTTGGACACATTGGTGGTGTGACCGGAGGCAATTCATTCAACCTCTGAGTGCTCCAGCAATTCTCTTAGATTATAACTTGAGGAAAGGATGCTGACCTGCATTTGCAGAGAGTTTTCTGAGCAGGGAGTTTGCTATGCCAGTGAAATCACAGGTCCATCCTAATCTCTCAAGAACATTGCCCCAAGAACATCACTCCCAAACTTTGGCATCTTTCTCATTCACTCCACATATTTGATCTCTGATCATTTCTGCCTTCACAACATCTCTTGTCTGTCTTCTCTCCACTCATTCAGTCACAACTCTAACCCTCACCACTTCTCTCTTGAGCTACTGAAAGACTTCTAACTGATCTCCTGCCTCAAATCTTTCCCCATTCTAAACCATCCTCCACTTGGCTGTCAAAGTGATTTTTCTAAAGTTTAGTTCTTACCATGTAACCCTCTTTCCTCCAAGAACACATTAAAAGTTTTCTGGCATTTAAAGGTCTTTGTAATCTGTTCCTTTTCTACCATTTCAGCCTTCTTACACCTCATTCTCCTCCACGTCTTTTTATTTAAATACACTAACCTATTTGCTGTTCCTGCCACATGACACTCCATCTCCCATCCCAGCCTTTGTACTGGCTGTTCCTTATACTGGGAATGCTCTGTGCCCTCATTCCTTACCTCTGTCTCTTCATTTCCCTAGCTTCCTTCAAGACTCAGCTCAAATCTCACCATCAGGAGGTCTTTCCCAGATGTTAATGCCTTCCCCCTTCAGATAGCCTTCACCTATTCTGTACACCTTTCCCTTCTACATCTCAACTTTCCCCATTGAGATTTTAATTATATTGAGGTTCAGGATAAGAAATTGAATGGGATTTTTTTAGAGCTTTGTGGAAGGCTCAGATGATACATGAGGGCCAGCAGATGACACAGAAAAAAGTTTAGAAACTTAGAAATGCATAAAATATATGTATAGCATTGTATAATATCAACCCAAATTTTACAATAAGGTACTGTAAACACTCCATAAAAGAAAGAGAAAAAAAAATTCAGATTTTTCTGATACAAAGGGAGGGCCAAAATTTTTTACTTGGATTTTCCAGATGGTGGGGGCACCTGTCCCTAACCCTCCTCCCCCATGTGGAGGGGATACTGTACATATGTTGTATTTACTTATTTACATGTTGTATCCTTGATTAGAATATATACTCCTTGAAGGCAGACAGTGTTTCTTACCTTTATTTGTATTCCCAGCACTTAGCATAGCACCTGGCAGGTAGAAAGCACTTAATAAATGCTTGTTGACTGATTGGCTATGTTTGACCTCACTTGTTTCCCCAAAGACCAAGAATCATGCTGTGTGCACAACTGACTATAAAAGAGGGATTTCAGGGTTCTTTTTACTTTTATAATTTAACAATGCAGGATAATAATGGCAAACAGGTAAAACGCTGATTCATGTTAGGACAATGGAAATTTACTTTGTATCTGTGAAAGGCATTTCCCTTGCTATGTTGTTAGGTCATTTCAGTTGTATCTGACTCTTCACAACTCTATTTTAGGGTTTTCTTGGCAAAGATACTGGAGTGATTTGCTGTTTCCTTCTCCAGATCATTTTACAGATGGGGAATTGAGGCCAACAGCATTAAATGATTTGCCCAGGGTCACACAGTTAGTTAAGTGTCTGAAGCCAAATTTGAACTCATTCCTGAGCACTTTTTGATTTCAAGCCCAGTGTTTTATCCAATTCACCATCTAACTGCCCCTTCCATTGCTATAGAAGAGTGAATAACATGAATTCAGGAGAGTGCTGGTGAAATATTCCTCCTGCTTCTCAGTAAAGGTGTGATGAACTACAGGTGAGAAATAAGGCATACATTTTTAGACATGACTAATATATTGATTTGTTTTACTTGACTGATTTTTTTCGTAAAAAGGGCTAGAGGGTAAGGGGAAATGAGTCAATGGGAAATGACAGTGATCTTTAAAAAAGGTGAAAAAATAAAAATAATAAATTAAAAATAAATTTTTAAAAATTGTAAAGGAATTGATAAGTAGGCTACATTCCTTTCTCTCTCTTCTTTTCATGTCTACTATACCTAGCCTCTTGGAAGAGCAACAGTGTTACTTGTTGCCTACCAATCCAATCACCAGCAAGAGTGCAGGGAGGCTATATACAATGATAGGAATCAAGCCTTAGTCCCTTGAATCCTCTGTAATTCCTTTCTCTTTGGGGAAATGGAGATGCCAAAGGAGGGAGAAGCAAGTACAGGTCCCCTGATACCCCCTCTTCCAAATATTGAAAGTTTTGCTTGAGGAAGAAGATACATTATCTAAATATCTGTTTTTCTGTTAAATGTGTTTTTACTGATTTGCTCTATAACCCACACCACTATAATTGACAAAAAACCCTCCTGAAGTTTAAGCTTCAATAAGGCAGGGAATGTGTCTTTTCAATGACTTCTCTCTTCCTTTCAGCTAGAGACAATGCCAGGCACATGGTGGGCACCCAGCAGCAAATGTTTGTTGAAATTTAATAATATATTCTGGGAAAAACAATAATTACTGTGACTATTATTGTCATTATTTCCACTCTATTTGCAAACTGCTGCAGTCATTTATTTTAATCTCTTATATTTTGAAGGCTATGCTAACTTCAGATTCTGGGGGAATCACTTGAGGATGTCCGAGTATAAAAATACGGAGAAATCTCTATAAGTAAGGCACCTCATTTTCTTCTTTTTAGCCTCTACCTCCAAATAAGAATACTCTCTACATTTTGGGAGAGTGGGTGGACATGGATGTGGAAGTGAGGCCTTGGAGATGGGAAATTTGTTTCAGTAAAACAATCATACAAATATAACTCTGAAACTACTACACACTTACTTAGGGAATAACGCTGGGTTGGCTGCCCGTCGTGTAGATTGAACAAAGGGAGAATAAAAAATTCTGGCCTCTGAATATCCCCTGGAGTCCAGGCGAGTTAAAAGTGCTGGTGACTCTTCTGGGATCTGACCCAAAAACCAAGACGGAATCATTAGAAGGTTTGGGGTGGGGAAGAGGTTGGGAAAGGTACGCTGTGTTTGTGTCTACCTGTGATGTGAGCCCCAGGAAGAGGTAACCTTTCTTGCAGAGGCATGCACCTCTAGCAGTCTGCATGACTCGTGGGCGTGTGTTGGGGGAGCAGGAGAGGAATGCCATCTGCCACAAGGGAGCCGCGGGCGCACCTGATTTGTGCTCACAGAAGGGAGGAGAACCGCTTTGGGAAAGGGGCCACTTTGGCACACAGACGAGCGTAGTGGGGAGGGATCTTATTTGGAGCCGAGGCTGAGAGTGGGGGAGGAGGGATGGATGTCCTGGCAGAAGGTACGCCCACTTCCCAGGTTGGGGTCAGCAGCCAGCAGTCCGCGTGCTCTGGCGCGTGGATGTGGATGTGTTTGTGGGGGTTGGGGGGTGGGCGGTAAGAGAGGGAGATTGCTTTAGCCTCAGTGTCTGCGAGGGCGCCCGGGAGGGAGCTGGATGCGAATTTGCCGGATGCGAGCAGCAGGCGGCAGCCTTGGCCTTGCCTTCAACAGGCCGGCAGAGCCGGGTGATGTCAGTAGTGGCTGGGCTGGCAGCAGTCTGTACTTCCTGTATAAAGGAAGGCTCGTCTGCAAACACCACTAGCCAGTCCCAGCTTCTTTTGACGGAGCAGCCGCCGCCACCAAAGAAGCAGCAGCAGCACTAGTAGCCGCAGCAGGATTGTCAAATTCAGGAGCCAGCTTTCCCCCTCCCCTCCCTGGCTAATCCCTTCCGCTTCCCCAGATCCTGGCTTGACATCTCCGGACCAGGAGCTGCATGAGTGTGCGTGCAAAACAGCGGAAGAATGGCAGTCCTCAAACTCACCGACCAGGTACGAGAGGGAACCCCGGGCGGACGCGAGCAAGGCAAGCGCCCCAGCCACCGCCTCCGCCGGCCGGGGAGAAGCTCCCCCCGGGTCCCGGAGAGCGCAGCTGGCGCCCCGCTCGTCAGTCCCGGCCAGGGAGAGGGCGCACTGAGGAGGAAGATGAAGATGAGGATGAAGATGGGGATGGGGAGAGAGGCTAGCCCGAGCTCCCGGCGAGCTGTTTACACAGGGAGAAGGGGAGGAGTGTTTAGGGTTGTACGCTGCCTTCTAAATCCCGGCGTTTCCCCGTTCTCCTCCCCCTTGCCCTCCTCCCCGCCCTATGCCGTCGGAAATGCCCCTGCTGCTCTTGCGCTCCCTTAGCTCTCCCCCTACCAAAGGCGGGGGAGGGGGTGACTGACTGCTTGGGTGGTTCTAGCTTGCAGCCTAGATCCGTGTGTGTGTGTGTGTGTGTGTGTGTGTGTGTGTGTAGGGAGTGATTATACGTGGGCTAAGATCTGAGAAGGAGCGAAGGGGGAGGGGAGGCTTTAAGGTTCTCCCCGGGGCTAATAATGTGCTGCGTAGTGTAGGCTAAGTCAGATTTTGCATTCAGTAAGAGAAGGCATGCAAATGCTACGGAGACGAGGGAGACACTGGGTTGGGGGGAGGGACAGCAAAGAGAGCGAGAAATATAGATTGGAGATACCTCAATGAACCAATCAAGTAGAATAACCCAAGCTGTTTCTCTTTTAAGGCATATGTGTGGTTAGCCAGTGTTTATCCGTTTGACTTTATATTCTGACTTCCTCTTAAACTGCCTAGATTCTGTGTGTGTGTGTGTGTGTGTGTGTGTGTGTGTGTGTGTGTGTTTACCCTTCAAGGCTGCTTTTCGGGCTCTAGCTAGTGCTCAGTGTCTTGCAGGGAGATGGAAGGGTATGAATGTCCGTCTGGGCTTTCCCTAACTGGTGGTGGCTTGAACCCCCGCCTCCGTCGATTGATTAGTCGGCTTTCCTTCCTCCCTGAGATGCTGCCCCTTGCTGCTCTATAGTGTTAGCCCGGAGGTGGTCTGCTTATTTCCAGACTGGTGAGATTTGTGCGCCTTCCAGGGGCCCACCCTTCCCTCATTGTGCACTAAGTAAAGGGGATTAAAGCATGCCACCTTTGTGTGTGCCCTGCTGCCTTTCATAAATTGATCTTCATGTACAACAGACTAAGTGACTGATCAACCCCCCTTCGATCTCTTCCACAAAGCTCTAGCTTCTCCCCGCCTCCCCCCAACAGTTTACAATGAAATGAACATTCTGAAGGAGGAAAAGCCTGTGTTGTGGAATTCTGAGACTGGGGAACTCATCTTGACACTGACACATGTAATTAAACCTATTCTATGGTCTTTCCCACCTCTTAGTACAAATAATGGCCATGTCTCACCTCAGTCTTTTAACCTAGATCGAAATGATTGGTTAGCTGTTTAGTGTAAGACATTGAATTTGGGGCCTGTTACTCCAGAGACATAGGTGAGATTAATTACCATAACTCTAGTAATGATTTTTCATTTCACCTCTTTCTTATGTTAAAACACAAGATCCAAAGTTTCATAGAACTTTACAGACTATTACTAATAAATTCATACCTAAGGTTTTTGTTTAACTTAAATTGAGCAGAAAGAGTACAGCTGGTGATTGGAATTAACTCTCATGCCATTGGTTTTAAAGCATTTAAAATGTTTTGTAAGTTGATACTAGGTTTTCCACTGTCTATTTAGTTCATGTACTTTGCCAACTGTTAGACATTCCCTTGTTTTATTCTGCTAATTTTAGTCTGACTTGGTCAGACATCTGTTCCCATATACATTCTGATGATTCAGTGTTTGCCCATCAATTCCAAAATCTGCCCAATGTAATTTGTATGTATGCATAGTAAAGCCTCCTTAAATAAGGCTTCATGACATGCTCTAGAGATAATTTTAACATGGTTAAATAGTATTTGCTTTACACCTCAACAGGTTTAGAAATAGTGCTTTTTAAGCAAAGATATATACACTGATAAAAAGATATTTACTTAGAATAATCTTTCCACACTTGTCATCGTAGAATTTACAATGCTATTACATCCTGGAATGTCCTTGGACTTTTTTTTTTTTAGCCTTGGAAATAAAACCAGAGAAAGAAAAAGTTGCACCACCTATATAATTTGTTTCTACCTCATAGGTGAAATACACCTGAGAAATAGTGAGTTCAGGTATTCTGGGGGAAAAGGATTGAAGGGTGCATGAAGCTGCTGGGAGTAGTAAAGATAGCAATAAGTGGGGTTTGTAGGGCACTTGGTATAGGAAGTGAGGCCTTTTCATGCTATATAAAATATAATAATCATGCTTTACCATTTCAGGCTAATGCTCTAAGTTCTTGGAATCTTTTTCACAGTTTCTGTGAAAGCTTGAAACCTTTGCCTAAACCTCAACTTGAAAAGTCTTGTCTCATCATTCTGAGTAGATAGTAGCTGTGGTTTTAAACAACTGCTTTTTATTTTGTGGTGGAGAATGTTTCTTTCTATTTATTACAGAGTGAAGTTATTTCTTTTTCTTTTGTTTTTTATCTACTTGTGTGAAGAGATTCTCAGTTTTAAGTATGGCTCTTGGATTTTCTCCTGACTCTCCTTAGTTACTGGTATCTCAAGCTACCAATCCTGGTTTGTTTTTAAATGTTTTGGAAATAGGGGTTAAATGATAATGCTATATCCCCAGTTTTGTTACCATAAGCTGGTTTGGGGGAGGATAATCATGACTTGAATAACTAGATCATATAGTGACCTCAATCCTTTATCTAAAGGGAAAATGAAATTTCTTGTCTCTGGTGGTGGGGGGGGGAAGGAGTCATAAGTAAGGGAATGGGCATGCAGGTATATCTTCTCCTTCCCTGCCATTGAAAGTAATTTGAACTAGTAAGACTGATTCTGGAGGTTGAGATTTAGCCCTGGAGTTGTAATTTTGGTGCAATGGAAAGAACATAAGAACAGGGGTCAGGAGATCTTGGCCGGTTCTGCCACTTACTAGAGTGACCTATGGCTAGTTATTTAACTTTTTTGAGTGTTAGTTTCCTTATCTGAAAGACAAGCATGCTAATAATACCCAGCCCTGTTGTTGTGAGGATCAAATAAGGTTTTGTATGTGATAGCTCTTTGACTACTTTAAAGTGCTGTACAAATCTTAACTTGGGAATGATAACATCTGGCCTCCTTTCATCTTCAGCCCCCTTCTCCTTCTCTCTCCTCCTGGTTGTTTAGGATGCATTTATTTTCAAGTCTAAAATTTCATCATTAGGCACTTTTTGAAAACACCTCTGTGCCTGAATAGATAGTCTTTGGTAATTATTCTGGGCCTCCGAAACCCCTCCCCTTTGCCCCTCTGGACTTCAGATGAAATACATTGCTGGGTCAGCACTTGAAGCCTCCCTGGTTTAGTAGGACATTCCATAGCTTGTGTTCTGTAGGTGCAGTCTTTGAAAAGCCAGTCTCCTTCATTTTTTAATGGACAGTATTTAACTACAGAATAGACAGAATGTTATTTGGAAGAGATAGATGTTTTTGAAACAACACATTTTAGATGAAATAAGAAGTGATTTTTTTGACTTGCAGAGATGAAAGATACTATAGAAATGTAATAGCTTCTTAGACAGAAAATAACGTAATAAGGTGAAAATGCTTATAATTCTGATCCAGGGTTTTAGGCATCAAAATTTTTTTCTAACATTTTCCAGCCTAACATTGTGATGTATAGATACTTTTGCTACATCTTTAGCCTGTCACGGCTTAAAAACAACAACATCAAGCATTCATCTAGAATGATAGAATTCTGATTGGTCTGATTAATTTATATTATCGCTACCTGCATTTACTGATGACACCAATATTTCTTTTCTCTTTTGGCTATTCCAACCTATAGGATTGGTGCTAGACAGAATACTTCTGTAGATTGGTTTTGGTGTCCTGTTCCCAGGTTCTTGTCTCTGCATTTAATGTTGCTTATTTTCCTCCCCAGCCCAGTTGTAAAACTTACCACTTACTCTTCAGTGACAAAGGACCATAACTAGAATTTTGTCTGATTCCTCTTTGCCCTGTCATTGTTGTTGTTTAATCATGGCTGACTCTTTGTGACCCTATGGCTATAGAAGGGCATGCCAGGCCCCTCTATCCTCTATCTCCCAATGTCTGTCCAAGTTCATATTCATTGCTTCCATTCTACTTTCCATCTCATCCTCTGCCGTCCCCTTTTCCTTTTGCCTTCAATCATTCCTGTATCACTTTCTACCTTTATACTTATTTGCGTATGAGTCATTAATCTTTTCCCTTCCTGCCTCCTCTTTTAAACTGTTAAACTCCTCAAGGGCAGGGATCAGTCAGTCAGTTAACATTTATTAAATGCCTACTATGTGCCAGGCACCATGCTAAGAAACAGGTCCTTTTTCATCTTTCGTATCCATAGTGGACACTTAGTAAATACTTATTGAATTGACTTATGACCTCTACACTAGTATTTAAGAAAGGCTAGAAATCAAAGGTGATAAACCACTTTCCGTACTCCTTTTAGCACTTGTATCTCTTATAATCTGATTTTAAATAATAAAACTGTCAGTCAAAGAACTAATGAAATGGGCCTATTTCAAGTGTCTAGCATGTGAGGAGCAAACTGGGCAACAATAGTAAAATAATTTGGTGGGAAGAAATACGGGCATGAGATAATAAGATGTTTGCAATAGAAATAGTATGAGAGGCTGAATGCTAGAGAGATTATGGACATGGGATTGGCAGGACTTGGTAACTGATTTAATATCTTGGGAGAGTTAAGGATGATTCTGATGCTACAAGGCTGAGTCACAGGCAGGATGGTAGTGGCATTGACGGGTTTAAAAAAGTTGGGGTAGGGACAAGATGAGTTCAATCTTAGACAGTTTGAGATGCCAGCAGGCCATCTAGGTAGAGATATAGGCAGTTGGGGAAAAAAACCAAAACACTGGACTTCTGAGAAGTTGAAGGGT